TTACCCAGCATTTCATCTTTTTTACTTTGTTCAAAGGAACTACCCTTGTGGCTCAGCGGCAAAGAATCTGCCTGCCAATGCAGGAGATGTGGGGGTTCAATCTCTGGGTTAGGAAGACCCCCCTGGAGAAGGAATGGCAACCCAATCCAGTATTCTTGCCTGGGAAACCCTACAAACAGAAGAGCCTGGTGGACTACAGTCTATGGGGTTGCAAAAGAGTCGGACACGACTGAGTGACTAAAAAACAACAAACTTTGTTCAAGAGCTAATGATTCTGGCTCTCTCCAAGCGTGGATTTAATTACCCCTCCCATCTTTCTAGCTTCAAGATTAAGGGAGATAAAGTTGTGCAGGGGACAATCTGAGGGCAGAGATTCAGGTGGTCCTCAGGTGTCCTTGCTTTTGCACCATGAGGTCCTGCCAGTCTGGCCTGATGAACTGGATTAGGACTGAATGCCTGACTAATGCCATTCAAAGTCTGACCAGTGGTCTAGCATCAGCCTGTCTGGTAGGGACATGAATGAAAAACACAGCTAATCACACCGTTTCTGTTGTTGTTGAGTCACCAAGTCATGTCTGACTTTTTGCGACCCTATGGACTGCAGCACACCAGACTTCCCTGTCCTTCACCATCTCCCAGAGCTTGTTCAAACTCATGTCCATTGAGTCAATGATACCATCCAACCATCTCATCCTCTGTCGTCCCCTTCTCCTCTTGCCCTCAATCTTTCCAAGCATCAGGGTCTTTTCCAGTGAGTCGGCTCTTTGCATCAGGTGGCCAAAGTATTCAAGCTTCAGTTTCAGCATCAGTCTTTACAACAAATATTCATGGTTGCTTTCCTTTAGGATTGACTGGTTTGATCTATTTGGAGTCCAAGGGACTTTCAAGAGTCTTCTCTAGCACCACATTTCAAAAGCATCAATTCCTCAGCACTCAGCCTTCTTTATGGTCCAACTCTCACATCCATACATGATTACTGGAAAAACCAAAACTTTGATTATACAAATCTTTGTTGGCAAACTGATGTCACTGCTTTATAATGTGTTGTCTAGGTTTGTCATAGCTTTTCTACCAAGAAGCAAGCATCTTTTAATTTCATGGCTGCAGGCACCATCCTTAGTGATTTTGTAGCCCAAGAAAATAAAATCTGCCACTGTTTCCATTTTCCCCCATCTATTTGCAATGAAGTGATGAGACTAGTGCATTCTCTTGGCAAAACTCTGTTAACCTTTGATGTGCTTTGTTTTATACTCCAAGGCCAAGTTTGTCTGTTACTCCAGGTTATCTCCTGACTTCCTACTTTTGCATTCCAGTCCCCTATAATGAAAAGGACATCTTTTATGGGTGTTAGTTCCAGAAGGTCTTATAGGTCTTCATAGAACTGTGCAACTTCAGCTTCTTCTGGTTGGGGCATAGACTTGAATTACTGTGATATTGAATGGTTTGTCTTGAAATGAACAGAGCTCATTCTGTCGGTTTTGAGATTGCATCCAAGTACTGCACTTTGGACTCTTTTGTTGACTATGAAGGCTACTCCATTTCTTCTAAGGCATTCTTGCCCACAGTAGTAGATATAATAGTCATCTAGTTAAATTCACCCATTCCAGTCCATTTTAGTTCACTGATTCCTAAAATGTTGATGCTCACTCTTGCCATCTCCTGTTTGACCACTTCCAATTTGCCTTGATTCATGGACCTAACATTCCAGGTTCCTATGCAGTACTGCTCTGCTCTTTACAGCATTGGACATTACTTCCATCACCAGTCACATCCACAACTGGGTGTTGTTTTTGCTTTGGCTCTGTCTTCATTCTTTCTGGAGTTATTTCTCCACTGATCTCCCATAGCATGTTGGGCACCTACCAACCTGGGGAGTTCATCTTTCAGTATCCCATCTTTAGTGGATAGAATAGTGACTGTGGCTCAGATCATGAACTCCTTATTGCCAAATTCAGACTTAAATTGAACAAAGTAGGGAAAATGACTAGACCATTCAGGTATGACCTAAATCAAATCCCTTACAATTATATAGTGGAAGTGACAAACAGATTCAAGGGATTAGATCTGATAGACTGTGTGCCTGAAGAACTATGGACGGAAGTTCGTGACATTGTACGGGAGGCAGTGATCAAGACCATCCCCAAGAAAAAGAAATGGAAAAAGGCAAAATGGTTGTTTGAAGAGTCCTTACAAATAGCTGAGAAAAGAAGAGAAGCTAAATGCAAAGGAGGAAAGGAAAGATATATCTATTTGAATGCAGAGTTCCAAAGAATAGCAAGGAGAGATAAGAAAGCCTTCCTCAGTGATCAGTGCAAAGAAATAGAGGAAAATAATAGAATGGGAAAGACTAGAGATCTCTTCAAGAAAATCAGAGATACCAAGGGAACATTTCTTGCAAAGATGGGCACAGTAAAGGACAGAAATGGTACAGATCTAACAGAAGCAGAAGATGTTAAGGAAAGGAGGCAAGAACACAGAACTATACAAAAAAGATCTTCATGACCCAGGTAACCATGATGGTGTGATCACTCACCTAGAGCCAGACATACTGGAATGTGAAGTCAAGTGGGCCTTAGGAAGCATCACTACAAACAAAGCCAGTGGAGATGATGGAATTCCAGTTGAGCTATTTCAAATCCTAAAAGATGATGCTGTTAAAGTGCTGCACTCAATATGCCAGCAAATATGGAAAACTCAGCCATGGCCACAGGACTGGAAAAGGTCAGTTTTCATTCCAATCCCAAAGAAAGACAATGCCAAAGAATGTTCAAACTACTGCACAATTGCACTCATCTCACACACTAGCAAAGTAATGCTCAAAATTCTCCAAGCCAGGCTTCCATAGTACATGAACCGTGAACTTCTTGATGTTCAAGCTGGATTTTGAAAAGGCAGAGGAACCAGAGATCAAATTGCCAACATCCACTGGAATATCAAAAAAGCAAGAGAATTCCAGAAAAACATCTACTTCTACTTTATTGACTATGCCAAAGCCTTTGACTGTGTGCATCACAACAAACTATGGAAAATTCTTCAAGAGATGGGAATACCAGACCACCTGACCTGCCTCCTGAGAAATTTATATTCAGGTCAAGAAGCAACAGTTAGAACTGGACATGGAAAAACAGACTGGTTCCAAATCAGGAAAGGAGTACATCAAGGCTGTATACTGTCACCCTGCTTATTTAACTTATATGCAGAGTATATCATGTGAAATGCCAGGCTGGATGAAGCACAGCTGGAATCAAGAATGCTGGGAGAAATATCAATAACTTTAGATATGCACATGACACCACCCATATGGCAGAAAGCAAAGAACTAAAGAGCCTCTTTTGTTTTTTTTTCTTCTAAAGATCCTCTTGATGAAAGTGTAAGAGGAGAGTGAAAAAGTTGGCTTAAAACTCAACATTCAGAAAACTAAGATCATGGCATCCTGTCCCATCACTTCATGGCAAGTAGATGGGGAAATAATGGAAACAGTGAGATACTTTATATTCTTGGGCTTCAAAATCACTGCAGATGGTGATTGCAGCCATGAAATTAAAAGATGCTTGCCCCTTGGAAGAAAAGCTATGACTAACCTAGATAGCATATTAAAATGCAGAGCTATTACTTTACTGACAAAAGTCCGTCTAGTCAAAGCTATGGTTTTTCCAGTAGTCATGTATGGATGTGAGAGTTGGACTATAAAGAAAGCTGTGCACAGAAGAACTGATGCTTTTGAACTGTGGTGTTGGAGAAGACTCTTGAGAGTTCCTTGGACTGCAAGGAGATCCAATCAATCCATTCTAAAGGAAATCAGTCCTGAATATTCATTGGAACAACTGATACTGAAGCTGAAACTCCAATACTCTGGCCACCTGATGCGAAGAACTGACTCATTGGAAAAGACCCTGATGCTGAGAAAGATTGAAGGTGGGAGGAGAAGGGGCTGACAGAGGATGAGATGGTTGGATGGCATCACCGACTCAATGGACATGAGTTTGAGCAAGCTCTGGGAGATGGTGATAGACTGGGAAGCCTGGCCTGCTGCAGTCCATGGGGTTGCAAAGAGTCAGACAGGACTCAGCAACTGAACTGACTAACTGATGGGACCAGGAAGCTGAACAATGAAAGATACAGAGAGACACAGATAGAGAAGGAGGTAGAATGTAACAGGGGCTTTAAAGACACTGAAGGGAAGGCAACAGACAAAGGCCATGAGGCAGAGAAGTCCACGGAATACCATGAGTTTTCAGTAAGCAGAAGCTACAGCAGCAGCAGCAACCAAATGGCAGCACAGAGATGACTCCAGCATCCCTGCCCAGCCAGCAGGACTACTGACGTTACCACTAGAACTCTTGTTACTCCATAAACTCTTCAGTCCTCTGTGAGCTCCTTCTCTGCACTGGCCTTCCCATCCTTATTTCTCCTTAGTTCATTGCTATAGCTCCATCACCTAAGACTAAGCTGAACCTTCTATCTTTGCATCCTAAAAGAGCTAAACAAAAATGCACATCCATCTAAGGCCATTGTGTCTCCATTGCCAGAGCCAATAGTTTAGAAAGCTGCTAATGCAGAGGCTGTATTCTGGGTCTCCAACCTCTGCCTGTATGCCCTCCATGCAAGCCCAAGGAACACGCAACCTTCCCCAGGTGCTGAGCGATGATCAAAACTTGAAATGCACTAGCAGCGTGTAGGATTTCCAGCACTTTCTCCTGAGCACTATGGGATAATTACTATTGATTGGAAGATGTCATAAGACTTGAGAAAGGGCACCCTGGACAAACTGGGCACATGAGTTAGATGAGTTGCCTTGGACATTCTGAGCTGCACAATGGAGGTAATATATCACCCAGGAGTTGTGAGAAAAAATAGACTACTCCATTTCTCACAGCAGAGTGCCTGTGCTTTACAAACTCCTCTATGATACATTGCGGTGATCAGAAGGCAGGTGCAGCCCCTCTGAGACACACGGCCAAGCTGCCTTCAGCCGACAAGTCTGACAAGAGCAGGCCCACCTTGCCAGCCAGGCTTGCAAACTGGCTTCACGTCCACCTGCACCAGGGTGTCCTGTGCTGCGGGCTTCTGTCCACAGTCGTAGGCAGTTACTAGGATCTCATACTGGTGCTGCTTGTCATAGCTCAGCTTCTCCGTGTTTCTGACGTTGCCTGAGGACACAGGGACAATAATTTCAGATTGAGTGAACCAAGTTGCAGTTCTTCAAAATCCCTTCTGCCCTCCTCCAGCCTTCACCAGAATAAAATGTCCCCATTTCCTATCTCTTTATAAAAGCTAGGGCACACAGGGAGCGTGGCTTCCACACGTGGCCTGCTTGAGCCTTAGTGGCAGAGTCCTAGGAATTGCTGGCTGGAACCACTCCAGCTGTGGGACAGAACTGGCAGGGAATTCTGTGCATCTGAATTCCAACTGGTTGTATTAAGTATGGGGTTGTCAGAATACCACCCTAAACTGTGACCATGTCCCTGATATAGGGTGTCGTGTGCTCACATTACATGAAATCTCTGGGAAAAAGATGGAATTCAGAAACTTCTCAACATGTATTTTTTTTTAACATCTGGGCTCTTCGCCAGGAACATGTGCTGCCTCTTCTCACATTATTTTGCTACCAAAGAGGAAGTAAAATCAATAAGAGAAAACGTGTGACCTCTCTTCTGAAAGCTACACAGAATAATAGATCCCTTGCCCTGGTGGCAAAGACATTTTTCTTCTCCAAGAGAGATCAGATATTGTTTCTGAGCCATTTGTGTGTTTTTGTTCCTGTGGGTTTGATAGAACGGTTCAGAAATATTTGAAAATTAATGAGCAAACTTTTATTTGACTATTTTTGCTGAAATACAATTTTGGTTTCAAAAATGAATCAAGGCCTGATGTGCATTTAATTCTTTTAACTTTTTGATTCCCAGAGATTAAAGTCTTCCTTTGAGAAGAATAATTTCATTCTGGCTTTTCTTTTCCAATGAAAATTAGAGTTGACAGCAAATTAGAACTCAAATGATATCATCATCCTTTGCTAGAAGCAAAGATGGAAATTTAAAAAAAAATCAACAAACAAATACACAAACATGGAATCACTGACTCAGGTATACAATTTCTATGCACGTTTGTTGAGTTTTTTGAAAAAAATATTAAAGTATAGTTGATTTGCAATGTTGTGTTAATTTCTGCTGTACAGCAAAGTGCCTCAGTTATCCATCCATATCCTTTTTCAGGTTCTTTTCCATTATGATTTATCATAGGATACTGAATATAGTTCCCAGTGCTATACACTAGGACCATGTTGCTTATCCATCCTATATGTACTAGTTTGCATCTGCTCATCCCAAACTCCCAGTCCTTCCCTCTCCCACACCCCTTCCCCTCAGCAATTACTAGTCTATTCTCTATGACTGTGTGACTCAGGTATAAATTTGTTTCAGTCTCAGCTTGGGGCCCCGCACATGTGTGAAAGGTCTCAGTGTGGGTTTAGTAATGTTCTCTTTGGCTTCTGTTAACAAACTAGTTCATGGTTATAGCCATCACAAGGGAGTACTTCTGCCAGGTGGAAGCACTGTAATAGGACCACAAGAATATGCTTCAGTAACATCAAATTGAATTTTGAACAAAAAGTTTTAACTTTCTCTTTCTTTAAAGTTAAATGGCTCTCAAAAGATACACCTTGTAGAAGAGGAAGGCTCAGGGTTTACAGGCCGTGTGACATTCAGCAGACCACACTATTGATTGTGGGAGAAAAATAAACACATGAGCCTGCAATCTTTGGCTCGATTTACCACAGATCCACTTGAGTAAGAAGTCTTAATGAAACTGTCTGAGAAACTAATTTGCTTTCTCCACCACCACCAGCTTCACACAAGGGAGAATGGGTTTCAGGGGATAGAATTTGAAGCATTAGGTAAACATGAGAGTATAATATTGTTGCTGATGGTTGTGGGGGAAGGGTTGTATTTGGCTAAGTCACACTTTAAAAAATTTTTTTGAAAGATCACAAAAAGCCATTCTTTTGCTTTTGTGACAATTGTTATTATTCTCCCAACTTGTTAATGATTTCTCCTAGTGGTATCTTCTCAGGAGACCTGAGTTCACAGTTACCCCAGGTGAGTACTGATCTCTGTGCGTATTTCTCTGTTCCAAATGAACCTGGGAAGCTAACTCTGAAAGAACTATCAGTATCTACCATGGGTCATAGTGAAAGTATTTTTTGAAAACTCAACTGGGGCGGCGGATGCAATGAGACAAGTGCACTGACCTACACTCTCCTTCTGCCAGAATTTACATTGGAGCAGCTGTTTTGGAAAGCTACACAGGTTGGTCACTTTGCAACTACTCATACCTTCTGGCCAAGCAATTCCACATCTAAAAACTGACTCCAGGAAAATGATACAAATTGCAAACCAACAAACATGTTCATCTAAGCATTATTTATTATTAAAACATTGAAGAAGAGTAAAGAAACTGGATGCCCAATGGTCAGGAGACAAGCTAAGCCTGAATCTCTGCTTAGATAGACTGCTGTTCACAGTAAAGTATTAATTATGAACTGTTTTATGGATGGAAAAAAATCCATACAATCAAATGAAAAGTGAAAAAGGGAAAGTGTGGCCTTACTTTTGTTTTAAAACTTCATGGAAAAAGTGCTGGCAAAATGTCAGTAGTAGTTCTCTTTGGTGGGATTACAAAAGTGACTTCTTCATACTTTTCTATGCTGCCCAGTTTCCTACCAGGGGAGTGCAGATCCTCTTCTATTCAGGTGGAAGAGAAGTATGTTCACATACCTGGAGATAAGCAAACTCAGGTTCACACCTCACTCTTAGGTGGCCAAGGGCCCTGACTCTCCAGGGCAGCCTGCAGAGCGCTCAGCGGAGGCTGTGTGCAACCCACCACCGCTTGGAAGGTAGGAAAGCCTGCTAAGTGGAGGCGGGTGTCCTGGTGAGCCCTGCAGCTCCCTGTGAGGCCATCCCCACCCCTGGCTGAGTGCTTTCTCTGTGCTGACAGTCTGAGGACTGCCTTGTGAGATCCGCCCTTTTACACAGTGTGCATTTATTTGTTTACTTCGGCTGCGCTGGGTCTTCACTGTGGTGCTCGGGCTTTCTCTACTTGTGGCTGATGTGGGCTTCTCTAGTTGTGCTGTGCAGGATTAGCTGTCCCACAGTATGTGGGATCTCAGTTCCCTGACCAGGGATTGAACCTGTGTCTCCGGCACTAGAAGGCTGATTCTTAATAACTAGACCACCAGGGAAGTCCCTCAGGCACAGTATTTAATTCCCATTTTACAATGAGGATCTGACATCAAGTTTAAGTAATTTATCAAGGATCTACTTCTTCCCCTCTCTCTCACAGTGGTGGGCAGAGGATTGAGATGAAACTTTGTATTTTTGAACTTAAATACCATTGTCATACATTCCTGTCAAATATCACTGAGGACAGTGATAATATCACTGGTGAAAAATCTTTGGGATCAACACTCAGGGGACCTGGCTCCACTCCCCACTCTGCCAGCTCTTTACTCTTTAGGAACAAGTTTTTCCATCAGTTCAATGGAAGTGAGGATCTAGGACCTACCAATCTGAGAGAGACTAGTCAAGTGCTAGAAGTATAGGGGGGCTGGAAGCCATCTGAAATGGATCCAAAATATCCCATGAGGTGGCAATGCCACCATATTAGTTACCTACTCATAATTTCAGCTTGAAAATCCATGGGGAGTGAGTAACCTTCATGTCCTAGTTACCCAGGCAGGTATCTGATAATCACAGTGTCATGAATGGAACACTCTCTATGCCAGGTACACTGTTAATATCATCCACAGGCACTGCCTCTCCTTGAGCCCTCACTGCTACTGCCATGATATTTTAGGGGAGGAATTCAAGGGAAGAGAGGCTGAGGACCCCTGGTTGGAAGAGTTTGATTCTTGTGTTCAGATGGGTCAAACCACTTCCACGTAATGTCACCTATCCTCCCTGATGCCCTGCTCCCCTCTTTCCCCCACAAGCAAAGAGTCTGGCAGGTGGGAGGGCCTAGGAGCCAGCTCCCTAAAGTCCTGGGGCCTGAATGAGTAGACCCCAACTCAGCAGTACTTCTTCTAATGTGCATGCGAGGAACTTCTTCAAGGAGCTGGGAAGGTCGCTGGGAGAAGTGATGGATAAGGCCTAACAGGAAAGCTCATTAGAATGGGAGCTGCTTCCGTGTCTGCCCTGAGGTCCTGCCTTCATTACTGGAGAACTGCTTCTGTAAACCTTGCCATCAAGGGCCCACAATCCCTGGGAGTGCCCACTCTCCTCTACATCTCAGGGTGTAAACCGACGTTGGAGGCAGAGGCCTGGCGAAGGACCATTACTCACTTTTAATGAGACAGTCAGGGAAATAAATTGGCATATGTTACTGAAATGGCTCATCAAGGTGAGTAATTATCTTCATGGCTGGGGCAGTTTACCCTCTGATAAAGGAATTAGCGTCTCCTCTCTCCCGGGGCTGTGGCTCTCCAGAACTAAGGCAGGAGGCCAAGGGCAGCTTGACCACTCGTCCTGGATGCCCTCCCCTCATCCAGTCCAGCTCTACAGCAAGGACCTGTCATTACCCCAGTTCCAGAGCTCTCAGAGTCATAGGCTGCACAGCTGATCATAGGAGACCAGAAAAATACAAAGCGTTATTCCATATTTATACAGTGGGGTGTGAGTGCCTGTGTGTGTGTGGCAGGAACAGGTCAGTCATGTCACAGGGCCTTGTAGGAAAAGCTATCCAGAGCAGTTCTGGCAGGCTCTACAAATGAAATTACCTGCTTCTTAATCCTGAGCCAAACTTTAATCACAGTACAGTATTTCCTCCTTTACTTTCTCATGCACTGATTTTGTGTCCCACAGAATTAATCTCTAGTGAGTGATGCCCAGGTGTGTGACTGACACTGGCCATGTGTTTCAGCATCTTATAAGGAAACATCTCTTCTATCACGTTATCTGCTTTATGAATATTGGTTTCATCTTTCGAGACAGATGATAAACTCCTGGAGGCCAAGGATGAAGGGATCTGTAGCAGTTCCCAGGATGCAGAGCACTCTGTTACAGGGTATGTTTCTCCCTGGTCTCAACATCAGGAACCCTGGAAGCACCGAAGATTTGCAAGCAGGTGACTGATGCTGTTTCCCTCTAGGCACTGGCTACCAGGAGGCTCAGGGCTAAGTCACTGCCTACCCCTGGGTCTGGTTCAGGGCACACTTTGTGCACCGCCCTCATCCCTGATGCTGCCTTTCTAGTTTTTTTTTTTTTATTTTGCTAGATGGTAAGCTCCATGTGGGCAGGCCCACTTGCTTTGACTTCCCCTCTCTCTCTATTCCCAGTTTCCAGACTGTTCCTGGCACTTAATAAACATTGACAGAGTGGATGAACCTTAGGTTATACAAAGTTTACATCTTTGAGCAGTTAAATCCTGTTTGAAATAAAATGAGGATAATATACATATAACCACACACTCATGCTAATAATGAAACAAATGTACTTGGCAAATAATGATCATTTGATTAATATCGAGTTATTGAGAGTTGAAGTGCGCTGAGCTGCCTGGGCCTCTGTCTATGGCATTTATCCTGGATGAGTTTTTAAAATAATGCTGGTGGGGAAATATCCAAATGGCTTTCTAAGTTTAGTTTGAGATTGGGGTGTAGAGGGAGGGGTCTTTCACTCCTTGTTCCCACTAGGATGGAAATTCTAAAAAAAATATTGGCAAGAATGGATAAAGATGATGTGGCACACATATACAATGAAATATTACTCAACCATAGAAGTGGTGGAACTATGCTGTTCGCAGAGACATGGATGGACCTAGAGACAGATACAGAGTGAAGTTAAGTCAGAAAGAGAAAAACAAATACTGCATATTAATTCATATATGTGGAACCTAGAAAAATGGCACAGATGAACTGTTTGCAAAACAGAAATAGAGGCACAAATGCAGAGAACAAATGTATGGATACCAAGAGGGGAAGGGAGGGTGGAATGAACTGGGAGATTGGGATTGACATATATACACTTCTATGTATAAAACAGATAACTAATGAAAGTCTACTGTACAAGGAACTCTACTCAATGTTCTGACCTAAATGGGAAGGAAATCCAAAAAAGAGGGGATATATGTACATGTGCAGGGGATTCACTTTGCTGCACAGCAGAAACAAACACATCGTAAAGCAACTATAATAAAAATTAATAAACAAAAAACCCCCAAAAATGGCAAGAGCTTCAAAGATTCCTATAGATCAGAAAATCTGCAGCTTAGAAGGTGTTTCCAAAATCTCCACCTGTTCTTTTAGTGTCTCTTTGGGAGCAGACTGTTTTTGTGCAGAAGTGATGTTATAGTTTGTTATATAGGAATCTAAGATGTGCCTGCGTTGATGGTATGGCTCATGCTTGAATGACAACAGGAAAATTCTACCAGAAAACCAACCTGTCTTCAGCATTTAAATATACAGCATCATAAGTTCTATAGACTATTCACTAAAGAGATTTACAAAGTGTCTTAGGGTGTTTTGGAGAAGGGAATGGGAACCCACTCCAGTATTCTTGCCTGGAGAATTCCATGGATAGAGGAGCCTGGTAGGCTATAGTCCACTGTGTCACGAAGAGTCACCACAACTGAGTGACTAACACTTTCACTTTAGACCTGGCTGGGCTGCTAATTATGTGAAGTCATCCCTTCTAGCGCAGGGAGTGTACCTAAGTTCTGGGTACAGAGCCTAGATCAGGGGTGGCAGGGAGGCATCACCTGGCCAAGTACATTAAGAGCTTAAACTTGACCTTCAGAGGGGTGGGGGGTGGAGCTATTCCCTGTTCCCATCCACTGGGGTCCTCTAAGGACACTCACCATTCCTGTCGATGGCAAAAGGCACATCAGTTGTGACAATTTCATAGTTGCAAATCTGGCTGTACTGGGGGGAGCAGTCTTCATCGATGGCCTCCACTTGCAGGATGCTGTCATAGATCTTGCCCTCCGTCACAATAGCCTTGTAGGCTGGCTCTTTGAAGGTGGGAGCAAACTCATTGACGTCCTTCACCTGGATATGGACCACGGCCCTAGGACAACACACAGGAAGGAAGAGATGCCAGTAATGAAAGAATTGCACCAGACTCCTGCACTTCCCATGGGCACTGATTCAGGTCCCAGGGCCAAAAGAGTGGAGAAATATGACAATTGGGGTGGCTGTTGTCTGAGGGCTCTGTTCCCTCCTCCACTGAGATGCCTTTGCCTGTCCTACCCCAATCCTTTGAGATGAATTCACCCCAGAGAGATAGCCCCCACCCAGCTTCTTTGACCTGCCTTGTCACCCAGCTTTAGGCAACACATTTCCTCTAGAATTCAGTGGTCTCCAAGCTTTTTGGCACCAGGGACCAATTTCGTGGAATATAGTTTTTCCATGGACCGGGGGTGGGGAAGGAATGGTTTCAGGACGATTCAATCACATCACATTTATTGTGCACTTTATTTCTATTATTATTATGTTAGCTCCACCTCAGATCACCAGGCATTAGATCCTGGAGGTTAGGAATCCCTGCATCTCTCTAGCTCATTTGTCCATTCACACTCCACTCAGCAAGAATTGAGCCACTCTTCAGTTCAGTTCAGTTCAGTTCAGTCACTCAGTCATTTCCTACTCTTTGTGACCCCATGGACTGTAGCACGGCAGGCTTCCCTGTCCATCACCGACTCCTGTACCTTGCTCAAATTCATGGCCATCAAGTTGATGATGCTATCAAACCATCTCATCCCCTATTGTCCCCTTCTCCTCCTGCCTTTAATCTTTCCCAGCATCAGGGTCTTTTCCAATGAGTCAGTTCTTCACATCTGGTGGCCAAATTATTGAGCCACTCTTGTGAACAAGTGAAGTTGCTCAGTTGTGTCCAACTCTTTGTGACACTATGGACTGTAGCCCACCAGGCTCCTCCATCCATGGAATTTTCTAAGCAAGAGTACTGGAGTGGGTTGGCATTTCCTTCTCCAGGGGATCTTCCCAACCCAGGGATCAAACCTGGGTCTCCCGCATTGCGGGCAGATGCTTTAATCTCTGAGCTACCAGGGAATCCAATTTGAGAGAGTTATAACCCCAAATGAGGCTTCCTTGGTGGCTCAGATGGTAAAGAATCTGCCTGCAATGCAAGAGGCCAGGGTTTGATTCCTGAGTCAGGAAGATATCCTGGAGAATGAAATAGCAACCCACTCTAGTATTCTTGCCTGGAGAATTTCATGGACAGAGGAGCTGGTGGGCTACAGTCCATGGGGTTGCAGAGTTGGACACAACTGAGCGACTACCACTTTCACACTCGATAACCCCAAAATGAAAGGTGTTGTGACAGACAGAAGCATATGGCCCGGCAGAAATCCAGGGAAAAGTCCCAGCCAGTTCTGCAGGGATGGGTTGGATCATGGAACGCTTCCTAGAGGAAGTGACAACTAATTTCAGTTTTGATAGTAAAATTGGAGTATCTGCACGTGAAGCAGAGGGATAGAGTATTCCAGGGATAGAAAGTGACCCATGCTGATGCCTGCAGGGGTCTGTGGACCTAGCCAGCGGTCTGGCAGACTGGAGCTTCAAGGAGTGACGCGCATGCGTATCGAAACAGACAGGCAAGCAGGAGAGCGAGGCAGGGAGCTCTATCAGGTCTCTCACTTGTGAGACTTCTTCCAGGCTGTCTCCCGGGGCCCTGTGCCACAGTCATAGGCCTGGATGATGAACGTGTACTCCTTCTGCAGCTCACAGTCGATGGGGCTCTTGGCACGGAGCCGGCCTTCTCCGGACGTCTTGTTGAGCACCACGGCCTCAAAGGGCAACTCCTGGCCATGTATCTTGAATGCACAGATTTCTCCTGCAGGAAGACAGAAAGAGAGAGCAAGCATCTTAAGAACGGCCAGATTGCACACAGAACTTCGACTGGACCAGGCTTACACACCCAAAAGCCCTAGGCCATTTCCCTCCACACAGATAATTGTCAAGCCGGAAGCAGCCTTTAGGAAGCCGGCCAAACTTGTTCCTTTCTGGGATGGTAACACGCGAATATCCCCCATCCAGTGTAGCTGGCAGAAAAAGCATGGGGGTGGGGAGGGTAGTCATCACGCAGGGGAGCTGGCTGTTCATCCCAGTTTGCCAGTTTTCCTGGCAGGTTTCTTGCCTGCCCCCTGCCCAGTATGAGATTAAGGAATTTGACCACAGTCAAAAGACAAGTGACTGCAGAGGAAAGGAGAAAAAGGCCAAAGCTTTCACTGTCTTTTGTTCTGCGACAACATCCTCGATTCTTGAAAGTGTGCTCCCTGAAGCAGTGACCTGGGCATCCCTGGGGAGCTTGTTAGGATTACAGACTCTTAGGACCTGGACCCTGGACCTCCTGAGTCAGGAACTGTATCTTTTTAATTTTTTTTAGGATGTCCATTATGTCTTTTTTTTTTTTAAGTATAGTTGATTTATAATATTGTGTTAATTTCTGCTGTACAGCCAAGTGACTTAGTTATACATACGTATATATGTATATACATTCTTTTTTATGTTCTTTTGCATTACAGTTTATCACAGGATATTGAATATAGTTCCCTGTACTACAGTAGGACCTTGTTTTTTATCTATCCTATAAACAATAGTTTACATCTGCTAACTTAATTAGGGTCCCTAGGTGACCTGTTTGCTCAGTAAATGTGAGCAGCACTGCTCTGCTCTGTCCTTCACTCCTGGTTTAAGCACCCCATGTTGCTGCATACCCCTTCCTGTCTCTCACTCACTACTTCTCTGTGGGGGCTGGGACAGATACCACTCCAAGTTTGCCATTTTCTCTCCCAACAGTGGAGCTGAGTCTATGTGAGCTTCAGAATCCCCGTGGAGACTGAGAAACCACCTTCTTAAAGAACTGACCATGTTGTAAAATGAATGCATTTCTCTCCCCCAGCTGGGTTTATGTGTATTATACCTTTTTCTCTGCATTGAAATGATAAAGCAATAAAAATATCTTCTTTACCTTAATTGGTGAATATTGATTTCTTGAACCCTGACTGTGAGCCCTATAGTAAGTGTTCTGGAAAGTACTAAAGGTTTGAGACACATTCTCTCCCTGGGTTGAGGGAGCTTACAGACTTGTTGGGGAGACAATGTGTAGATGTCCAGAAGGACCATTCATAGTGCAAAGAGCTGGGTGAGCATTATGTGACATGGTTATCAAGGGGTCCAGGCTTCTGGTGAATAAAATGTAGGCTTGAGCCCAAGGGCCTGAGTCATGTTCCAGGTTTGCTACTTACTAGCTGATTTAGTCAAATTATGTTGACTCGCTGGGTTTCAACTGTGTCATCAGTAAAAGCACCCAGGAGATGATGTCGCAGGCAGAGCATCTAACTGGCATGCCCCAACCCTGGTCTGACATTGTCCCAGCTGCACTGCTGGGACCAGGGTGAGGTGCCTACTGTATATACTTTAATGGGGTCCTCATATTCAGAGTGACCAGGCACCTGCCCAGCTGCTCCAAAGAACAGACACCACGAGAAGAAGGGATAACATGACTGCATGTCTGCTCTGCCCAGGCATCCAGCTTTGTACCTCCACCCAGGTGATCTGATTTAATCATCCCAGCAAACCTGCAAGGTAGACATTTTATACCAATTTGTACAAATTAACAACAAAAAGGATCAGAGAAGTTATTGCTTGCACAATGTCACAAAGTGAAAGTTTGTATAAACCCCAGGTATGGCTGAATCCTTAACTACACACCCTTTCTGCTGCACTGCACTGTCTCCAAGCAGTCTTCTCAGAGGACCACACCAGGAACTGCTTCCAGTAGCATTCTAAAATCTTGTTCAAGCCTCACTCAGGAGAGAAAGCCCTCATTTTACATAGAGGAAGCATGCCCTGATCTCTTACTAACAATGTTTTCTGAGATGGTCAATCAATACCAATTTTACCTTTAGGCTTTTGTTTTTTATTATTTCATCGATCCTCAATTTCATTATGAACACTCCATTTTCACTACATTCCCTCCTGGCCATTTCTCAAATGTAGTCATGGAATAATGAACAAGACAGACATCTTGTGGGCCAGGCTCTAACAAGAAGGCTGCTTCCCGTTCTGTCACTGCACTGCCTCTTGGACAAGACTAGGTCTACAGCCTTGAAGGTGGGAGAAGGGGTTTCATCCCATCCTCAAGTTTCATTTCTGCTCTGAAACGGCTGGGCTTGAAGAGATGGACTTCTGACATGCCTACCTTGAGATTCTATCTCAAGATCAATGCCAGTTACGGGAATACTAACAGTAAATGTGCCCAGATTAGTTCTAGGGTATTCTCTGAAGTTCCAAACTACTGCCACAATTCTAAGACTCATTGGATCCTTTCTCTTTGAAGAGTCCAATTAAACTGAACGTAAATGAGGGCAATTCTCTGTTGGAGACACTCGATCTCATCTAGAGTAGTCCTCAAGGCACAGAAATCCTGAACCAGAAGAAAGGAGAGGAAGGAGGAAAAGGCAAAAGAGGAGGGGGAGATGCAGACACAAGGGGAGGCTGAGAAAAGTAAACCTCAGGGCCACATATTTTCACAGAACTAAATGCAGTTCAGTTCAACTCAATAGAACCAGTAATTTTTGAGAACAGAGTAAGTGCAAGGCACTGTGCTGGACCTGGAGACACAAAGAAAACAGCTTGGATACCTTAAGGCAGTGGTCCCCAGGGCCTTTGGTACCAGGAATTTATTTTGTGGAAGATGATTTTTCCACACACTGGGGATGTGGGGGGATGGTTTCAGGATGATTCAGGTCATTGCATTTATTGTGCACCCCATTTCTAACCCAATGTCACCACTGATCTGACAAGAGGCACTGGTCTGTGGCCCAGAGGTTGGGGATCCCTCCCTTAAGGCATGAAGTTACCCAATCCTCAAGTCCTCATTACCTCCTAGAAGAGACAGTGAAGTTCACAAGGGCTATGCTATGCTCACTTAGTCTGCACCAGCTCAGACTGAGATGGGACTTAGCCTCCTTTGAACAAAAATTAGAATTCACCCTAGTGAAATACATCGCCCTTGTTGATCCCACCTCTTCATCTGACTCGTGTTCTGGCTGCAAAAATGTTTATTCATTTATTCATCCATTCATCTATCTCATAAATATTTATTAGGAACTATGTTCCCTGCTTTATTGACTATGCCAAATCCTTTGACTGTGTGGATCACAATAAACTGTGGAAAATTCTGAAGGAGATGGGAATACCAGACCACCTGACCTGCCTGTTGAGAAACCTGTATGCAGGTCAGGAAGCAATAGTTAGAACTGGACATGGAAAAACAGACTGGTTCCAAATAGGAAAAGGAGTACATCAAGGCTGTATATTGTCACCCTGCTTATTTAACTTATATGCAGAGTACATCATGAGAAATGCTGGGCTGGAAGAAGCACAAGCTGGAATCAAGATTGCCGGGAGAAATATCAATAACCTCAGATATGCAGATGACACCACCCTTATGGCAGAAAGTGAAGAGGAACTAAAGAGCCTCTTGATGAAAGTGAAAGAGGAGAGTGAAAAAGTTGGCTTAAAGTTTAACATTCAGAAAACTAAGATCATGGCATCTGGTCCCATCACCTCATGGGAAATAGATGGGAAGACAGTGGAAACAGTGTCAGACTATTTTTTGGGGCTCCAAAATCACTGCAGATGGTGATTGCAGCCATGAAATTAAAAGACACTTACTCCTTAGAAGGAAAGTTATGACCAACCTAGATAGCATATTAAAAAGCATATTAAACCTAGATAGCATATTAAAGAGACATTACTTTTCTAACAAAGGTCCATCTGGTCAAGGCTATGGTTTTTCCAGTAGTCATGTATGGATGTGAGAGTTGGACTGTGAAGAAAGCTGAGCGCCGAAAAATTGATGCTTTTGAACTGTGGTGTTGGAGAAGACTCTTGAGAGTCCCTTGGACTGCAAGGAGGTCCAACCAGTCCATCCTGAAGGAGATCAGTCCTGGGTGTTCATTGGAAGGACTGATGCTGAAGCTGAAACTCCAATACTTTGGCCACCTCACGTGAAGAGTTGACTCGTTGGAAAAGACCCTGATGCTGGGAGGGATTGGGGGCAGGAGGAGAAGGGAACGACAGAGGATGAGATGGCTGCATGACATCACCAACTCGATGGGCATGAGTTTGAGTAAACTCTGGTAGTTTGTGATGGACAGGGAGGCCTGGAGTGCTGTGATTCATGGGGTCACAAAGAGTCAGACATGATTGAGTGACTGAACTGAACTGAACTGATGCTCCCAGCACTGATGAAATAGTGATGATCAAACTCCACCCAGGCCTGGCCTATAAGCTGATAGCAGTCCAGCACAGGAGGAAGTTAAGGAATTGGATAATCACCTGCTGTCAGGAAGGATGGTGATGGTGATATGTGTATTGAAGGAGGTGCTAAGAGTCCTGACCTGGGCAGACTGGGCAGGGAAGTCTGAGCTAGATGTGATGGATGAGCTGAGATCACAGGAAGAGAAAAAGGGAGACGCCCAGGCCACAGGAGAATGAACTGAGTTTCAAGCGGGGGGGTAACACATGGGAGTGCCCTTCAGCAGGAAGGGACAAGGGGCTGCAGAGACCCGTGGGGCAGGAGCAGAGGCAATGGGGCAGGGCCAGCTTCATGAATTTGCAACCAGAGAGGCACTCAGGGGCCGTGTGCTCAAGAGGGCCCTGAGCATGGTTGAAATCTCCACTGTTGCCACACTGAAATTCTTAATAATGTTATCTTTGAACTTGGGTTTTGTAAATGAAATCTGGTGGGACAATGGAGTCTTTCTTGAGCAATGGAGGTGCTCCCTATTCATTGCTCCCCCTTTGTATCTAGTGGTCAGGATA